CTGAAATTCTCATATCGCTTATCTCTGGAACCGCTTATGCTGACGTCTTGAAATTTGCCACAGCAACATATTTTGTCAATACCGTACTTACGGCGAAGAGTGGTAGATTTTGGAAAGGAGGGCGTGGCACCGCCCATTCAAACTGAAATTCTCTTATCGGTCATCTCTGCAACCGCCTATGCTAACGTCCTCAAATTTGACACAGCAACATATTTTGTCAATACCGTACTTGCGGACTTATTTACAGTCTGAATTGTTTGACATATTAGTCAGTGATGAACATCTCATCTATACATACAAATACATATGCATATTTTTTATAAATGAAAATCGAGGTTCCTTTTTCGGTCTATTTTCAAAAGCTACTGAGGAGGAGGCTTGGTAGAATTACCATTAATCAATCCGGTATTAACGTTCACAATTCGATTTTAAGTTTTCCTGTAAATTCGCTATAAATTATGCTGGTGGACTTTAAAATAGTAATTCGCATAAAGGATTTAGTATTGGTGACTGGTAAAATTCAAAAGTGTATGAAAAAAGATGTCGAATTTCGACAACTGGGCGATACTAATTATAGTAAAACTGCGTACTTAGTTTTTCTCTCTGACGTCAGGATTTTTATAAAAAATATGATTGTTTCAAAAAATTATTTAAAAAATTCAGTGTAATGTGGGATAACAATAGGGGTATAATATAACACAAAAAAAAAATTGGTAGAATTATAACAGAATGAATTGTTTGGTGCGAAAAGACAAATGGGTAAGGAAAATGTTCTTTACAAATTTGGCCTTAAATATCCTTGAAATTCAGAATTTTTTCCTTTTTTTTATTAATATTGTTTGAGGACTAATATACGCACGACCTCATCATCGAATTTCGTCCTGAAAACTTTATTAACTTAAAAAGATAAAATTTAATAAAAGCGCACTTTCAATAAAAAAAAAAACTTTATTGTTTTTAAGTTCTACAGAATTTTCCCTCTCGTTTGGTACCCATATTGTTATTCTACATTGCACTGATTTTTTAAAATAAATGTTTGAATTAATCATGTCTTTAAAATTTCAAAGTCCTTTAAAAAAATCCTGACGTCAGAGTGAAAAACTGAAAACGCAGTTTTACTATATTTGGCCCATAGAATTTTTTTGGTCTTTGTCGCACGGTCTAAATAAATTTATACATATAAAAATGAAATGTCTTTCGTATAACGGCGTTGCCTGACCAAACGGCGTAACCGATTTCGATTTTGTAAAAAATACGTTTTTGGAACTTCTGTGTGGAAAGTTTTTCCGTAAAAAAATGGAAATACTTATTGTGGTTTTTGTCAAAAAGTTAAGAAAGCTGAGACGTCACGATTGGTTCAAATTTAGAACATGTGTCAGCACCTTGAAACAATTTTTTCCCACCAAAAATGCACTCACTAGGTGACGTTAGGGTAGGAATATTCCTAAAAACTGCATTTGCTTGCGTATTTGGCTCATATTTAGAACATACATATGTTAGCCAATTGAAAAGAAATATTTGGGACTAAAAACTTACACTATAGGTGGCGCTGTGGCCGAGGTATTCCCAAAAATCCTTTTACGCCGAGAGAAAAATAGATATCCATATTTACATGTGTGTACAGTTGCGAGTAAAACCAATAGCAGTAAAATTCAAAATGATACTGCTAGTAACTTATGTTTATTTATTTATTATTAATAATTTTCATTTACAATATGGATCGATCTGTAATAGAAGCCGCATAAATAAAAGTTTCAAAGCTTGCACAATTAAAAAAAAAAAAATTAATTAAAAAAAAAGTTATCATTAAAATTCGATTTCTTAGAAAGATTTTGAGTATGCAATTTTGTAGCCCATTCAATTTTAGTATAATGAAGTGCAAGTTTGAAGCCGCTAAAAATTACCGTTGATTTTTTAAATTTTTTTTTTTCGAGGGTGTGCGCATTTTTTTCTATATAACGCATAAACCAGATTTCTTTTTATACTAGAACTCCACCCGCTGCGTTGAGTGTACGAAATTTGTGCGTGTTACATTAGGTGTAATTTTTTTTCAGTAAAATTCAAAATACTTAATCTATGCCAAAAATAGGAGATTTTGAATTTTTTAACCTCTCTCTTGTGATACTTTTTTTTTACTTACATGTAGTTTAGAAATGAAGCAATTTCAAAACCATTTAGATTGATACCCATTTTGTAAAAATTCATTGAAATTATTGAATAGTTTGAATTTAACTTTTTAAACAGTTGGCAACCTTTTTAAACCGCTTTCGTCTGGCACTCAAATTATGAGACATACATACATACATATGTATTCAAACTGCCTAATTCCCATAACTCAATTCGAATTTGAATCTTCAAGCATGTGGAAATCCCGCTTTACATATGTACATACATATTTAGCTTAGAAATAAAGCTTTTTCAAGACTCTTTAGATTAATACCTATATTGTAATAACTCATTTAACTTATAGTAATATATATAATAGTAATATATGTAATATAATTGCATTTGAATTTAGTTTAAAACCAAACGGGTGGCAACCATCTTCAAATACCGCAGAAAATTCAATTTGTTCAAGATGAATATTTCTGAACATTTTTACGTTTGGCACTTGAGTTAACTTAATTTAAATTCGACGTTTGACAGGTGGCAACCCTATTCAAAATATTTTAAAATTAATACTTTTTTAAGCCTCTTGACATTCATTTTTTTTTAATGTAATTTACAAATAAATAATTCCCTTAATTCAAGTTGAATTCGATTTTTTAAATAGGTGGCAGCCCTCCTCCCTCAGTATGGACTTTAGTTTCCAACTATAACCTTATTAAACCCCTTTCGTCTGACACCCAAATTATAATACATATTCCAATTACATAATTCCCTTAATTCAAGTGTCATTTGATTTCTCAAACATATGGCAACCCTCCTACATGTAGTTTAAAACTGAAACCCGTTTCAAAAACATTTCGATTTATACCCATATTGTAGCAGTTCGAATAGAATTAAATTTTTAGACGGGTGGTAACCCTTGTAAAACACTTCAATAATATTCTAAATGTTCAATCTGAATGAAGGTTTCTTAACAATCTTTCGTTTGACAGCCATATTTCAATTTTTCAGACAGATTGCGAAAAATTTATTTAAATTTGACTTTTCAAGCAGGTGGCAACCCGTTTTAAAATATTTTCAAACTACAACTTTTTTATGCCTCTTGACATCTATTTTTTAATAAAATTTTCAAATAAATAATTCCCTTAATTCAATTTGAATTTCATTTTTTAAACAGATGGCAACCCACCACCATCAGTATGGAATTGATTTTATTTATCTGCATACCAGGTTTCAGTACTCATATCATAAATATTTCCTGATATATATATGCAGTATGATTAATTCCGTTTGTATGGGTGGTGCCACGCCCTCTCGTCTTATCCCCGCAGGTGCGGGTCCGAAAAGTTAAATTTGCCAAGAAAAGGAACGACAGAGCCCGCCCGGTAAATCGTATGGGTGAAAAAAGACTACCACTTCACGTATTGAGTGGTAAGTGCCCCTGATTACAGTAGGGATCTAGTTAATTGGCCTATCTACCTGCCAGCTTTCGCCTCACTTTTAGGAATTTCACACCAATCTGTGGTATTGCAATGGGTCTGAGGAGCAGGTGATGAACAATTCCAGGCGATTTTCTATAGGAAATACCTAAGCTCTGATGGGCTTTGATTTTGGAATTTCTTGCTGTTGTATTTAGTGGATGACACATAAATAATCAAAATTATTGCGCGGAATCATTTCCCAATTGTTTATTACCGTTACAAGTCATGCATAATTATTTCTTTATTTTCAACTTTTAATCGGAATTTTTCGAAATCTATGAAAGGAGTAACCGCAAAACGTAC